GGACAGCATGAAACCCACAATAAATAAATAAATAATAGAGAAAGAATAATAATACTAACAGTTATTCTCTCTATGCTATTTTTCAATGTTTCAAGTGATGCAGGTGTTTTTTCCCTGTAGGTTTTTTTTAATTAAAAAAGCATTAATTTTTCATAATGTTTAGTGAAATTATTTGGTAGTCTGAGGTGGGATGGGGATTCGGGAAAGGGGGGCAGATTTTTTTTATAGGTTTAAAGGGGGGCGCGACCAAAAAAGTTTGAGAACCACTGGTCTAAAGTTAACAGACAGTGTTTAAAAAGTGCAGTCCCCATGTTTACATATGTTTATTACAGTGACTTTGAATTACCTAAAGTAGTGTGGTAAAGCAACAGATTTGTTTTTATATTTCTGCAATCTACTTTAGTTTGTGTGATTTGTTACTGACTTTCATATTAATGTTTACACCAGGCTTATTTAAACATAATTATTACATGCTTACAAGGTTGGAAGTTCAACAAATCAGTCAATGTACTGTGATTGTAGATGCTAAATAAAAATGTCATTCATATCAATTCATGCATCACCTAATTTCATCGTAACATATAGGCCTGGCCTACAGAAAATAACATTTATGTTTAATCTATCTAATAGTGTGTTGGTCATACTATACAATGATTTATAGCTTGTCTTTGTTGAATAATACAGAACATAAAGAGCTTTAAAAAATAATTGCATATTAAATCGCAATCGCAATATTGGTAAAAAAAGATTATTTTCCAAAATCGTTCAGCCCTAGCCTTAACTACTACTTTACTTACATTTTGATTAATCATTTGGTACAATGCACTTATTGTGTACATACATGTTTTTTTTACATTGTATTTATATTTTTAAAATACCTGCATGTAATTACATCTTTAATTACATTTATAATTACACTGTTGACCCATCCCGTACACCTTAAACCTACCCATACCACCAAACCTGTCACTAACCTTACCCGTATCACTATCACTAACCTAACCCTCAATAGCAGCAAAAGTGTTTTGCAATACAATATGAACACAATAAGTACATTGTACTTATTTTTTTATGCAAGTAAGGCTACTTAATATAAAGTGGGACCAAAAACTTTTCTGTATTGTTTAACGTTCAGAATCACTATAAGTTTTCGCAGGTTCACAATATGTAGACATTTAAATTAACCAGCACAACATGTCAACTTATGATTCAATCATCCAATAGAGTGAGTTTGGGGCGGGGCTATCAGTTTGAGTGACTAGTGGCAGACAGGAGGCGTGTTTGGGAAACATGTTTGACAACAGTCATAATTTATGCAGTTCAGTCTGACAGGTGTCAGCTGATTGAAGCTTCATTATCGCTTCTAAATGAGTGACATTTACTGCAGGCATCAGATTGAAGACGCATCTTTTGCTCTGAACAGCAAATGTGCACTGAAAATTTGATTTTGACTCGGTTACATCTACACAAAACCATATCAAAGTATATTTGTGGCTGGTGCATCACGGTTTGAGCACTAGTTACTCCAAGTGCCTCAAAATCATTCTGACAGAACAATAAAAATAAACTAGACACTTGATCCAGAGGAAACAAGGAAACACACACAGAAGTCTTACAAATTATGATATAAACAAACTACTGCACCAACATGAGGCAAAGGAAGACCAATACTGAATGTCCATCTACTAAGTTAACAAATGTAACCATATAAATACCATGAACATGTAATCCATTCGTACTATGGTCTATATCTATACCATGGTATCACCACAGTACTTTCTGCATGGATAACGAGTATATAGGACAACAGGGCTGCATTATATGTCTCAGATATCAGGTATAATGTGCGAGTGAAGCTCTGTGCTGCTGTTATCTCTCAGCAGGAACCGTATAAACATTCACAAACAATGAAAGCCGCTGCTGTCACTGCTTACACACGGCTGTACGGAGCTGCTGACCGCTCGCCACTGAGTGTTGTTGTGTTTCATTGAGTGATAGCGGCGGACGACGCCATTAAACTCCCTCGTGAGAAAAGAAGCAACACCGAATAACTGTCATAATAAAACCTCCCAATCCTCACCAGCTCCCGCGGCCCTCAGCACCTCCTTCCCGCGCTCTCATAATCCGCGAGACACAGAAACAGAAGCGAATGCACTGCAAACGCGCTCTCGCTGTGTCAAGCTGCTACAATGTTTCAAAACACTTCCGGATTTCAAATAAAAGAGGAAATCCCGCCCACGGCTCCAGATGAGAACGGGCGTTCATTGGCCAGATTATCTGTCTTGTATGGACGCGATGGCCAATCATCTGTGCCTTAAAAGGAAAACTTAAAATACAGCTATAACATTTGTAAACACTCTTGATGCGAATGCATCAGTGTTGCCAGGTCCGCGGTTTTCCCGCGGAATCGGGCTATTTTAAAGGGGTCATATGTTGCTAAAAATACCATTATTTTGTGTATTTGGTGTAATGAAATGTGTTTATGTGGTTTAAGGTTCAAAAAACACATTATTTTCCACA